TGCAGAGTACGGCTAACTCAGTGGCGTGCAGTGGTGTATTAAAATGAGGAGGCAGTTATATGCATATGTATATATATATATATATATATATATATGCCTATATATATGTCCCTGTTACACTTAATGTTGTCACATTTTCCTGGTTAAATAAATATTACATAAAAAAGAGAACTAATATAATTATAGTTTGTATTTTATTAATATTATTTTTTATTTTATTTAATATTTTTTAACACTAATTATACATTTCATAGTGTTTTTATGCACTTTTACATTTATTCCAAAATAATAACTAAAGGCAGTAACAATTTGAACAATATTTTGGAAACAATTTACAATAATGTTTCATTAGTGAACTACTTTAGTTAACATGAACTAAGAATTAACAATAGCCTACTTCTACAGCATTTATTAATCTTAGCTAATATTAATTTCAACATTTACTATTGCATTATTAAAATCAAAGGTTGTGGTTATGCTTCTGTTTATGGATATTTTCCAGGAAAATCGTTGTGGAAAATGAAGTAAATAAGTGCAAAATAAGTCCTATTTAGATAATTCGTTTTCCATGGACACCTCCTTCCCAAGTGGCTCCCTCAACTGCGATACTACCTCCAATTTCATTTGCTCTTACACCTGAAGACGACGGGGAAAATATGGCAGACACTGGCTGTCAGGCGTCTCATCTTAAATTCTCCTCAAGCTAAAATGTCGGGTTAATTGCTGTCATTTTTACACCGGGCCAGTGACTTACACACCGCTTCCTGTAAAAATCGCTGTTAGCAGGGGAAAAAAATATAAAATGAACTAACTACTTTAGTTAACATGAACTAAGAATTAACAATAGCCTACTTCTACAGCATTTATTAATCTTAAGTTAATATTAATTTCAACATTTACTAATGCACTATTAAAATCAAACGTTGTGTTTGTTAACAGTTTATGCACTGTTTATGCACTAGCATGAACTAACAATGAACAACAGTATTTTTACTATTAACTAATGTAAACAAAGATTCATAAATACTGTAATACATGTTCATTTTTTGTTCATGTTAGATAACACATTAAATGACACCTTATTGTAAAATGTTAAACATATTTTTTATTTGTGAACTGATGTTCAGCTGTTCTTTTTAATAGTCAACTTATTTCGGGTCATCGTCATAAAAGCTCTGTAAACACTGCCACACACATGAAGATATATCTTTTCATTTCATCACGCTGAATGCTCACTAAAAACTGACGCAGTCATCATGTTTTCAGACCATTTCAAGTTTTATTTTGATGTGACAAAGTAGTGGTATCTAAGTGGAAGAGTTGTTTGCTTACTTTATAATTAGTCAATAACGCCATAATTTTCTTCATTCAGGCCGAGAGCTCGCACGAAATCAAGAGGCGGGATTTATCGCATGAACCAATCACATTTAATCATAACCGGTCACTGCCTCCTCTCACGTGACTTTCCCCCATTCATTCTCAGTTACAACCCAGAAAAGTCACGGCACGCTAATGGGTCTCTGTTGTAAGTCTATGGACTGAAGGGAGGCAAGCCTCCGCTGTAACTTTACCTGCTATGTTTGTAATATCGATCATTTTGTCATCCAATTTTTTGAGGAGACACTGCCTCCCTTGCCTCCTCGGAGGAAACGCCCCTGGGCTAACTACACTATAAAACCATACGATCACAGATTATTAAACTAGAACAATCATCTAGAGGTTCCATTATATCACATCATATTATCCACAGATCAATGCAAACATTCTTGTATGCACACACCATTATAAATATAACAACATTAAAAGCTCATTTAACAACATCCTACAAATCAATGAAGTCTATGCCCTTAACCACCATTCTTGCAGAAACATGAAAAAAACATGCAGTGCTGCAATGCTTCTTCCATAAGAAGATTATTATGGAAATATAATGTATAGCAAATGTAAAACAGTCTCTGAAAATGTTGGCAGAAAAATAGCCACAACACACTGAAAATTGAATGTAAAATGTAAAAATTGTTAATAATAATAATAATAATAAAACACAAAAAAAGATCACAAGGCAATTTGTAATTTCTGGATGTTTTTTTTCGGAGTAAGAAAGTTTGGCAATGGACATAAAATATTCAATAGTTCAATTACTAACGGTCATTTTTAATTGGACACTTTCATCTCTCTCTCTCTCTCTCTCACACACACACACACACACACACACAGCACCAAAACTCAGAGATCTTGGTGGTTATTAGGCGGATGTGTAGGAATTCTCTGACTGTGGCGTGTGTGAGAGGGAATTGTGCAGGAAGTGTGTGAAGTTAACAGCACCTGGCCTCCCTTTAAAAAGCCTCCCGAGGCCTGTTAGCTGGCCCACTCATTTCAATGTGTCTGTCTGCGCTCTCCCGCTCGCTCTCTGTAAGTGAAACATTGTCACTCTCTCCACTGTCTCTATGGCACTTATCTCTCCTCTCTTCACTCTTTCTGCTTACACTGCCCTTTTCTTCCACTCTTAGTGTGGATTATCTACAGACAGATAACACAAAATCTATTCAAGTAATATGCAGCTATACAGGAATAATACTATAATAATATAATATAATAAATGAAAGAAATAGAATAAAAATGTAATTTTACAATTGAATAAAGCATAATCAATGTTATTTGTTATTGTTATCTACTATTAACTACTGTTAAACTAACATGTAACAATAACAACAACAACAAATATTTAGTATTATTAATACTAATAATGGCTGCAATAATGATTCTATATGGTTCTATATTTCGTTGGCTTTGTACTGTACTCTGCAATGACAAAAAGTTTAATCTAATCTAATATTATTTGTGATATAAAATCAAATTTAAAAATACTACAATTTATATCTATATTACATACACATTTATAATAATATTATTACTTTATTTTAATTCTGTTTACTGTTTAATTACTGTGTACAGTAATAATAAAACAACAAAAATAATATTAACTATTTCTACCAACAAGTAACAACAATAATAGTGATTATTATATAATAATGAATATAATAATAGTAATCATCATCATCATCAATATAATAATAATAATAATAATATGTCTGGTTAGATGCTTCTGTGGCTAGTTGTTTTATTGGCTTATTGGCTTTTACTGTACTCTGTTTAATAATAACACTGAAGCTACAATTTATGTTATATTAAAAAATAGATTTGTTTACATTTTACTATTTATTTTACATTAAATGCATATTTATATACATTCATATTTAGAATATCAATATTTTGTTTTTACTGTTTATAAATATGTTTGTTTACTGTAACAATAAAAAATAAAAAATATTTTATAGAAAACATCTATCTTTAATTTTAAATTAAATTAATTCATTAGAATTCATAATATTTAAGACTTTATTATTTCAGTCTGTTCATAATATATTGATCATAATAACAAATACAAACCAAATATATAAACATTTATTTGTATAGATATTTAAATTCACATAATTAATATAAACCTATAATTAAGATGTTCATTGTTTAATATTTCAATAGGTTTATAATAATAATAATAATAAAACATCATTGTCATCAACTACTAACAATTCACAAATATGAACTATTATCAATAATGGCTTTGAAACAAGTTTACAAAAACACTTTTGAAGGGCCCAGCGTTAACCACCAAACACTGATCTCACACACGCTGAAGTGTGCAGGTTAAAACAGAAGTCAGTAATGAGAAAGCGGGGGGGTTGACCCCAATCAGACGCGTGTGTGAGACACAGAGGAAGAGAGAGAGACGGCCGGTGTGATGATGAATGGGAGGAGAGGCCGTGAGATGGGGGTGCCGTTGTAATCACTCTGCTACACTGATCCTGTCTTACCCACAAGCCCATGGGCTGCTTTCAGCTGCTGTCACCAGGACTGAGCCACTCACACACACACAAACACACAGTCATAATAATAAAAACAACTGCCATTTAATAGCTATAAACTTAAGCTGCCAAAAAATATTAATTAAAATACTATTAGGTATTATTAAAAAACATCTAAATATACATTTAAAAAAATATATTTAAAAAATGTTCCATTATTAAAATCAATCATTTTGCCTACTTTTAAGTATTTTAGTAGTATAAACATTCACATGGCAACCAAAAACATGGAAAAAGTATTGAAAGTCTTACTTAAATCCTTGAAAACAAAACAAACAATGACTGAGAAATCACAAATTCTGTTTTCAGACACATACTCACATCCAATGACACACTTGCGAGTGAATAAGTGAACACACACTCCACACCGCCAGCAGACTAACCCTGAGCTCAGCCTGACCTCTCATGCTGCTCTTTTGGTGAGCTGTCAAACCCATCATTCACTGCACCGAGACATACATACATACAGCACACAACTGTGCTGCTTTTAAAGTCAAAAGAATTACACAAACATCCCCTACGCATATATATTTTGATACAAATACAACATGCACTGGTCAGTTGAGGTTTCTGTAGTGAACGAGCTGCTTGGCAGCTCCTAAATTGTTGTGAAGTCAAATAAGGAGGCCCTCTAGTGGCCACAAACAAAGAAACACGAGCAAGGCTCCGTACTTCACACACAAACACACATGCACGGCCTCAGCCGGCACGCTTCTTGCACAGAAGCACCAAAACGCATCCAAAACAAGTCAAAAACAGCCCAAATTGAGCCAGATTTCTGCACTAAACTCTTGAAATCCTTATCATTACACTAAACTTAAATAAACACCGCCACTAAATAAGCACTAAAATACAGTAAAAACAAGAATAAAACAATAAAACAGTCCAGTTCCTGTCTAAATGTGCACAACTGAAGGGTGTCAGTCAAATAGCTGCCTGCTGAGCCCTGTGTGAAAGCCAGCGAGAGAGAGAGAGAGAGAGAGAGAGAGAGAGAAAGAGAGGGAGGGAGAGAGAGAGAGAAAGAGACAGAGCGCGGCGGATGACAACGGACGGGGGGAGAGAGACACAACTTACCTGCTGTTGTTGCAGATGCAGCAGCTCGACTGCGCTTACTTCACTGCTCGTCTCCCCACTTGATCTTCCATCTCTACTGCCAGCATCTAATTGGCTGCTTAGGCTGCTCATTCCATTTTGACTCATTGAACTGTTGCTTATTGTCTCATTGGCCGACTCCTGCATCATGACTTAATACCTAGAAGTGATTAAGAGGCACCGGTTAAGGCTCTTGTTACAATCCCCTTTAGTTGCCTCCTAAAAAAAGAGGGGGGTAAAAAAGAAAAAGAAAAAAGGAAAAATGGGGGCGAGAAAGAAAAAAAAGCTTTCCATTATCAACCCCTGCACCCTTTGCAAATTAAAGCATTTAACGGGGGGAGGGGGTGGAATTATGCATTCACTGTGTAAATGAAGCAATACAAAGAGATGCACGTTTCTTCCTGCCTTTTATTTATTTATTTTTTAATTTTGCTTAATGCATGCTTTTTTTTAAATGTCCTTTTTTTGCATATCGACCATCACACACACAGATAAACATCACATGGTATGTTTAAAAATACATTTAGTGACTTTAATGTGGTGTGAATAATTTCCAAAGGAGCATATTTGAAATATAACACGTATGAAGCCTTTTTTTCCCCCCTGTTCAGACGTCTTAAAATATCCCCGTTGTGTCTCGACTGAACGGAGTTGCTTAATGACGCACAGCTAATCATGCAAAATTAAAATTTGGTACAGGAGGTGAGGGGAGAAGAGGGGGAATTACAAATCACATGCTTCTGTACTGTGATGAATGATATAATGGTCTTTTCTTTTAGCTGAAGCTAAATAAAATTTGCCTGCTAGTCAAATGAGGAGAGAAAAAAGCTTGTCACATATAGGCTAGTTCTGTTCCTCCTTTTTATTTTAATCACATACTCAAATTATTTCCGTATATTTAGTGCCGTCTGCCGAGCGCAATTAAAATTCAAACACCAAATTCAAACAGAGCAAAAATCGCACACGTCAATTTTTACAATTATTAAATACATTTTCCCTGGCATCTATTCGATATGAAAACAGGGGAGAGTGGTGGCTCAAAAAAAATCTTTCACGAATATCACTAATGATTGTGCTAAAAACAGCATAAATTATGCATATTACCTCTTCTCTGGTAATAAATGTTTTATCATTTTCCCTGCATAAATGTTGTGTACGTTCACAGGAACCCTGCTAAGATCTGTGGAGATCCTTGCAATAAATAAAAGAATCGTCCGACCCAACAAATGCAATTCAAGGTGTGTTCTGCATAGCTAATACACCCACAAGAGCCTTAATACACACTCCGTCATTCACATATTCATCGAACCCCCTCCTCTCTTCCCATTACACATTTTGTTTCTCTCAGAAAATGATGACGGGCTGTCTCATATTTCAGCGCATTCAAACATAAACAATATTAATTACCCTAATGGTGAGCACGCACAATAAAATATCCCTAATCTCGTGTAATGTTTAGAAGGGATTCGTTTTTCCAGCAACCCTTTCATTTATTTCCCTGACAGCTCCGCCATCCTTCTTTCCACAGATTAAACACATCAATTTTGTCACCTGCTACGTACGGACAATTAGCAGCGATCTTTGAACGAGAGCGTACAGTAACTCGACAGCCGAGCCATGAAAAAAAAGAAAAGAAAAGAAGAACGGCGCTAATCAAACACACGACACAACAAAGACGTAGTCTTCTAATCCATGGCTGCTTTTCAGATCAGCAAATCACATTTTAACGGCACGGCTTGTGTCTTATGAGAAACACTCTAAGCAAGAGTTTTTATTTATTTTTTTTATTTAAAAAGAACACCACCTAGCCAGTATGCACTGGTCAACTTGGGAACAAACAAAAGTGCAGAAGATTAGCAGACCAGGAGAAAGAGAGAGAGAGAGAGAGAGAGAGACTCAGCACAGTGTGAGGGCTGACGAATCTCTCCTGAAGAAACACAAAGCTGCCGTAGAGATTAGGCGACTAATAAGTATTCAAATTAGGCATAAATTTTACATGCCCCATGTTTAAAATATGCAGAGAAGGGCCGCTTGATTGCCTTTACGCGAATTTTATGAACAACGTAATGGAGTATTTTTTAATGCCACAATGAAGGAGACTAAAAAGTGAGGGACGAGTTTAGGACACTGTTCTTACTCAAACCTGAAAAAACAAAACGCTAATTAAAATTACATTTCAGATCACTGTAATCCCAGTTTGCACTGTGGAAATTCAAATATGATTTCTACGAACTCATTATTCCACACGTTTTAAAATAACTAAAGAATCAATGACATTTTGATGTAATATTTGGAAGAAGGAGGAAAAAAAAAAAAGATTTTTTTCCCCTTCAAATTTGGTTTTGGGTTTAATGACGCGGAATACTGATCCTGTCATTATAGAAACACACATTATTAACACTGTATCCTCTAAATCCACATGATCCACAACTGGCGTGTAGGTGTCTAACCGAACATAATGCTCATGAAGATGTATGCAAAGTGTATTCAGAGAGATCAGGTGCTGCTTTAACCTTAATGACAGCGGTGAGATAAATTAATTAGCCATCTGAAGGCAGCATCCAAATCTGCCAATTACAATGTCAATTAGAAACACATCCTCGCTCACGATCGTTTCCACGCAATGGAGCGGACGCGAGGAGGATGGCGGGGGGGTTATGTGTCTGAATGACACTGAGTGAAGGAGAGAGTCTAGTACGGTACTGTACCGCCTGAGAGAGATGGACGAAGAGAGAAAGAGAGAGAGAGAGGAAAGCCAGCACCCAAAGTCTGTCATTGTTCATCTATTGTAGGACCCCTGTTTCTCTGTCTTTGACCCTTGGGGCCAACTGCCTGTCATTATAACACACTGTCTTTTCCTAAAAACCCACTGGGGTCAAGGGTTCGTGCTACTGGAACATATTTACAGCCCTTGGTAGTCTTTTAGTGTGGACAAGCTCCGGCCCATTTGACACTGAGTCCTGCAATAAACACTGAGCTTGTGAATCGCTATTACCCATATCATCTTGATAACAGTCATCATCTAAAAGAAAGTCAGTGTGTATTCAAGAAGGTTGATAAAAACCAAATTGCTGCATTTCTGGAATAAAAGATGTTATTTGGATCGGTTTCTTTTCTCACTGTGTGTTTTTTGTGCTTTAAACGCTGTAACAGTACCACGCTTGCGATTCCTTTCTGGCTGTGTAAATGTTTGCTCTCGAATCGTAGGCTGTGCAAATCTGTCCTTTCCATCAGGTGAAAAATCCCAGACAGGATCCTGACAACGCATTCAAGGGCTACGTCTGTGATTTCGGGTGGGTGGGTTTGCAAAGAAAGGTGTGGGGAGGAAAAGCCACAAATATAGCCCAGATGTTTCTCATTCACACACACACACACACACACACACACACACACTCCTCATCATGGAGGAGTCAAGTTACTCACGCTCATTTGAGCTGATCTGATTTTACAACCACAAATGTTGCCTCATTATCAAACGCGGCACCCTTCTTATCGGAGCTTGGATATTGTGATTCTAAGTTCTCCATCATCTAAAGCGCTTGAAAACTGCGGGATAGGTTTAATACAAGTTGCTGAAAAGGGGCACCAGAGGCTGCGACTGTGACATTAACACATTCTCTCTCACACACACTCACAGAAATCATCCACTTTCACCGAGACGCACTTCATTTTTCCCCTCCCGTGGAAACCGGCGGCCCTCTCCCCTGATAGGACGCGCAGAACAGACCTGAAAAAGAGCTTGATGATTATTTCAGGGAGGCATCGGAAAGGCAGACTTTGTGATCCAAGAAGCCTAGTTATTATCAGTGCATTGCTCAGGTGCCCGGAATCCTAACATTGCAAGGAAGGGTGAAAAAAGACGGGGGAAAAAAACTAAAAATTACATTTCACAGTCTGCTAGCTTCACCCGCTCTGATTCAGTTAAGATATGGATACCATTTAAAATAATCACAAATTCTGTGCTCCACTGAAATTAATTCATCATTGCCATAAGTTACAATGCATACAAAATAAAGCAGTGCGGCTCTGCTATTCTCCAATATTTAACAGTTGGGAATGCTTAATAGATCAAAATGCCAGATTTTTGAAAATTATGATGCAAAGTTTGAATTTCATCCCGTGCATCTGTACTACATGTGAAATTGAGAATATGCTAATTAAAAATGCCACTGAACAGCTAAAAATGCTCTTTAAAAGTTAAACCGTGCATGCCAGCAGTCTTTTTTGGTTCTTAGGGGTCGCCATACACCGTTAATGACTCTCCTCTAAACCTGAATGTACTGTAATATTACAGGCCCCCTCTTCTCAGATAGAGGGATTTCAAAGTGGTTCACAATGGACGAGATTATAGAGTAAAAAAGAGCATGAGGGAAATCATATTTATACCACGAGTTCAAAAATGAAAAGGGAGGATGAATACATCGCTTTTCAGGATTAATAGTATGCAAAGTAACCGAATCAAGTGTTGTTATCAGTGGTAAAATGAGAACACATTCAAGAAAAAAAAATTTAAATTCACGATAAATAGACCATATTCGATTCATTCAGTGCTGAATGTTCAGAACTTCATTCTGGGCTATTTACATTAAAAGAAGGAGAAAAGGAGAGGGACATGAAAAGAAAGACAGAGAGAAAAAAAGCACAGACTAAGGGGACAAAGAAAACTGCGATAAATCCTGAAGAAGCCCTGAAACAAAACCAAATCCTTGAGAAATAAAAACACACATAATTCATAAATGCTAAACAACGTGACCTACAAAGCCGGAGTTTCGTTCAGATTTTCCAGCACTTCCGGAAAAAAACAACAAAACTTGAGTGTTTCAAGTCTTTCCATTTGATTCAAATTCTCTCCAGCAAGCACCTCCCTCTCGGACAAAAGCAGCTCCAAAAGTGGGTGCCTAGACAGTGACGCTGGTATCTCATCAAGCAGTCCCTGCGCTTGCATTTTGGGTAATTTCTTTAATTAACTCAGCCCACCTAATCATCAGTAATTGACCTATAAAAGTAGGAGGCCCCATTGTCTGCTCCAATCATCTCTGGCAGGAAGAGAAAATCTCTCCCTCGCTCTCTTTCTCACTATTTATCCATCGTCTTACACTATTTACCTGCCTCAAATGCATATTTCATTTCATTTCATGCCGCAATTATCCTTTGTGACAC